AAAAGCATCGTTCAGCTCACCTACTCCGCACTCAATATATAACTGAACATCATCTGCATAAATATGATATTTGCATCTGTTTTTGAAAATCCTATTAATATCAATCATATAAAGAGAAAACAAAAGCGGGCCAAGAACAGATCCTTGTGGCACACCACAATGTAATTCATTCCATTTAGAGAAACCACCATTCTGGTCTCTCACAGCCTGAGTTCTTCCTGAAAGATAACTTGCAAACCATTTCATTACAGGGGGAGATAAATTAAGCTGAGACAATTTTCTTTTCAAAAGGTCATGATCAACTGTGTCGAACGCCTTAGAGTAGTCTAAAAATACCATTAAAACAACTTTTTTCTGAAAAAGAGCAACACGAATGTCTTCAGAAATTTTAAGCAGCGCCGAAGTGGTGCTAAACAGCCTTCTATATGCGGATTGAAATTCATCTAAAAAATCCAGCTTTTTGAGGTAAACTAAAACCTGTTCATAAACAATTTTTTCTAAAATTTTTGATAAAGTACTGAGCAAACTAATAGGCCGAAAGTCCTTGGGCTCGACGGGATTCCGCACCTTGGGAATTGGGAGTTTTTAATTGACTCTCTTTCCATCAAAGACTTTTATTTTCGTCTTTCCTCATTTTTTGTCATTCCTCTTGTACTTTTTCTACAAAACAACTTTCACTTATTTTCTACAATGAAAAAGCACCACTTGAACCGAGGAATCAAAGAAAGTTCAAAGACAAAATAAACAAAGCACTACTTTCCATCAATGATCGCCTCACTGGAGGCACGATTTTTTTCCCCTTTGTTGACGGAATGCAAATCAACGAGCAAACATTTTCCTCCTTTTGCAGTTGATTTTGTGCTCAAAATTTCGATGTGGGCAGCGTCTGGGTGTTGTGGGGACGTTCGCTCCTCGACGTCAGCTGCAGGCGCGCCGTAAAACAAAGCCAAATCATAAATTGATATGAAACGCCAACGCGCACAACCGCACCAGTCATGACGGACGGACATTAATGGGCGCTCGTATGGGGTACACGGCGTTTGTTTTTACGCGTGTGCTCCTTTTTCAGCGGCCAAATGATGAATTAGATGCTATCAGCCAAGCGTTTTGGGGCGACAGAACCTAGTCGTGTATTCGAATTATGGGCCATATGAATTTTACCACGTGATCTTTGCTATAAAAGCGGCACAGCGTTTTTGTATCGCCAACTGAAGATGAAATATATCAATAGCTGTCTCTTTTAAAGTACAATATTAATTTTTATTTATAACTATATATTTTTTCCATGTGTTTATATTAAAAATAATCTTGCTTTCATTAAAATCGCGTAAATATTCAAATAAATACTGAATTTTTTTTAAACATAAAATAAATATGAGAGAATTATAAATATAGTTCTAACTTCCAGTGCAATTCGTCGTTTAATTCGGTGGCCAATCTACGTCAAAATATTCCATCGTCCAAAAACCAAAACTGGCCAGCCCGTTGTCAGATTAATATTGCCAACCCCGTCAAATGATGAATTAGATACTATCTGCATTCGCTGGCGAGTGTGATGTTTGTGTGTGCGAGAGAGCGTTTTTGGTAAAATATGTGCGTTCGTGCCCGCTCTGTTTACAGCTCGTTTTTCTGTCATTATTTTTGTTTAAGCCACGCACTCTTTTGGATTTATGGTGTGATCAATACCGCAGCCCAGCGCGCATTTCCTCGTCGCTCTCACTATACCAACGTAGTTTCCTCAACGAGCTTTTGAAAAAAAAATGTGGATGGCCGGGAAATTAAAGCGGAAAAAAACAAAAGCGTACTGTACTCAACGCAATCAGTTCTAGAACTTTAAAATTATTTTATAGCGTAATCTGAATTAAAATAATTTTTGGTTAGCAGCTCTTTAAACTGCTTTCAACAAATTCTCCATTATGATTGAACCATCCAAGTCAAAAGTTTTAGAGATTTTTTAATAGATCTGGGTTGTATTTAATAAAAATAAAAAAATCGAAAAATTATTTACGTAAATTAGTTACATTAACTATAATATAAAAAAGCATCAATAGCTTAAGAATTTGAGCAAGAAAAAAAAAACGAAAAAATTGAAACTTTTTGCATGGAAGGGAAAAATCTCTTATACATAAAGATTGTCTGTGTGATTGATCAATTTTTTCTAGTCAAACATATAGATATTTTTTTAGAATCAGTTTTGATATGTGAATAATTATTTAACTTATAAATTTAATGGTTGTGGTATTTGAAATTTGTATGTTTGCGTGAAAATTTGAAAAGAGAAGTATGTTAAATTTAAGCAAAGTACATGAATGTTTCTTTCTGGAAAGAGTTTCAGTTCCGAGTGCTCTAAAAAGCCGACGAAAAACTTCTCTCTCCTCTGCAGTTATGTCTTCATTTCCTTACTTTCACTTTATTCCGTCTTGAGAGGAGTAGTACCAGTTTATTTAAGATCTTGTCTTTGCAAGACGAATATGGTTTCATTTCTATAAAAAAGGACTACTTCTGGAGGGTCTACTCCGTCCGCTCGGTGCTCTTTCGCGCACGCATCCCGCGATGAAATATAAATATGGAGCAAAATAAGCATCACAGACTGCGAGTGAACATCCAGCCAGACGAGAAAATTTCGTCTATAGTTTTGAGCTTTCCGCACGCTGCAAGGGAAAGACGAGCGAGCGCGCCTTATTAAATTTCCCAGCGCCAAGCCAACGTGTGTTTGTGCATTATGTAAAATATAATACTGGAAGCATTCGGAACGCAAAACAACATTCACAAATTTCATGTACAAACACACACACACATACGTACACACCTTTCTCTCCTTACGCTCTCTTTGTGCGAGTGCGAAGAGAGGGTATGTTAGCCGAGTTAAAATGGGGTGGAGGATTCTAATCGACTTAAGAAGTTGTGCCGCCGCACTTAACTGCTTTACTAATGAAGGAGTTTCTCACCTCCACATGCCTATAGAATTGACGTTAAACGTGACTCCTTCTCTCCTTATTATTTGTATAGCATTTGTTTTTGTTTATTTTTTTTATAACTTTTCCTTTTGGAAACAATTACAAACAAATTATTTAAAAATTAAAAACAGAAATTGTTTAATCACGTTATAGAATCTTGAATTTTAAGACAAACAAGATGTAAATTATTATCTATTTACTTAACAAACAGTTTGTTCTAGCATTAAAATTTTGTTAAAACAATATTAATTACAAATTTTATGTTTCTTTTGGTTATTAAATTTAATGAGATTATTTATAAAAAAAGGACAATGTAGAAATTAAAGAAATTTTGTTTACTAGATAAATACTTTAATTTTTTTTATGTTATTTAATATATTATAGAGTTACATGATTGAGAAATTGTAAGAATTTACAATAATGCTTAATTTCAATGATCCAAAACAATTGACATAATTAAGGTAATTTTCATTCAAAAAAATATAATAAATAAATGCCAGCCAATGAGGAATTAAGTTGAGTTGTTGTTAAAATTCAAATACTAGCCTTCAAATTCCGTATAATTATATTAAGAGTGAAATAATACCATAATTTTAATAATTATAACAAGTTCTAAATTTAAAAATTTATATAGAATTAATTTTGCATTTTCGAAGCAGAAGACAGGATATGTATCATCAATCTGTCTGTTCGCACTCAAAATTATCAATCATGTACACAGTACGTTAGCTTAGAAGATTTGATTAGCATACGTGAATATCCCCCATTGATAATAACAGAAATAATTTAAGTACGGAATTAAATTTATTCCATCCTTGCGGTAAATTATCAGCGACAGAAAACAGTGAGAGTTGTTGCCGCGAGTGGAATTGTTTAAATAAACAGCGAGCGGAGATTCAGCAGCTTGTGTTGCTTGTAAATTCAGCATCAGCCAAAAGGCCGTTGGTGCAGTATTAAATTTGTGAATGAGGATGATGTGTACATACGTGTGTGCCGTGTACGTTGTATTCCATTTGGCTTCCAATTCGTTTCAACTTCATCCTGCTTTGAATTAATTCGTAATGCGCCACAGCTGGCTGACTTGCTGCCGCGTGCTTGGCAGTTTGTAAATCCAAAACGGAATAATTACTTTGACGCGTGTGTGTGTGCGTGTGTTTACGGTGGCAGATAAGCATCTTGAAATTATTTACCATTGCCCGCGAAGCAGGTTTGAAATTTGTCAGCATTGCGAGCAAGCAGCGGATTTCGTGCGGAAATTGGTTTAGCACTACGTTTTATATATAATTATTATTGTTGTTGTTTATAAGCTTCCAATAACTTCACTAACTATTAAGGTATTCTTTGCCGTGGTAATAACGGCATTCTTATTGTCATGTACTTAAGATTAAATTTATTAGTGCAGAAAAAACTGTTATATTTCTTATTAATTGGCCTTTAAATTACATAACTATTTATATTATATGTTTATGCTTTATTTTTCAGGACACATCCCATTAAAATAAATGCAACCCAGAAATATTTAGCTATATTATTGCAATTATTATATTTTTCGTTTATTGTAGTAATATTGAAGCGTGACTTCGTTTAAATGTTTTTTTAATTAAGCATACAAAAATCACTTTTTATGCTACAAATGCACCATTTAGGTACTTCAAATGACACAAAAATCCTATTTATAAAATAAGAAAAGTACTATTATTAATTAAAATAATATTTGAGTGAATAAAGACGGCGTTCAAAGAAGTGAAGAAAAAAGCTTTACCCTTGCTAAAATAATTTCATTGTATTAAAACAATTCGAATGGAACTTATTACCTTTACTTTTTCGTAATATACTATATTTAAAAAAAAAATAATATTAATGAAACCCATGAAAACCTAATAATATAAACAACCGGACGTATGTAAGCTTTGAAAATAGAAAAAAAAATATGAATTATTTCTACATTAGAGGAAATTGCGGTTCTCGAGTATGAGATAAAAGTGAAAGAGGATGTTGGATTATGTCACTTATTTTAAAAAGTATTAGAATTTCGCCGACATTTACTTCATTCAATGTCATTATTCACTAATTGTAAGATGTCAGACGCTAGAATTAAGAAGTTTATTCTCTTTGTCGCATTTGGTGATTTGACAATCTGCAACGCTAGAAGAGACTTACGGATGCGAAGTCTTGCCGCTACTTTCAAACAAATCCAACAGGAAAACGTGATAAATAATGAAGCCCAGACAGCCGGTCAGCCTCAACCACGAACGGATGAAGTAAGAATACATAAATAATGACACCAAAAATCGGTTCATAACAAATATTTTCAATTCCTGAATTTTCAGGCTACCACGTTAACAGTGGCGACGAGTGAAGAAATGAAAAAAAGTCTAGTGGTGGATGCACCAGTGAAAAATTAAGAATTTTAAATTAAGTGTTTAGAATGTTTAATTTTATTGTGATGTGTTGATTTAATGTAAGAAGTATTTTATGGAGAGCAAATAATTTTGAAATAATTGATGGGGTTTTTTTAAATGAAGCTATCGTTTCTATTTCTGAATAATATATTGTGCGAGTCTAGATTGTTTAAAAACAGGATGATTTAATCAAACCACTTATTTTTAAGCACTTTTTTTTGTATAAAATTTCCTATTTTTAGGAAGCACTTGTTATGACATGTGGTTTAAACTTGATTTGTTTCTTATCGCAATGAAAGTCAGAGAGGTCAGGTGATCCTTGGCATTTATAAAAGGCTAGCGCGCAAACACCCTCGAGATATTTTGTAAGTGAACTTCCTCTCGGCAACATGCTGCCCTGCAAAGTTTGGTTGCTCTTTGTGGCATCACTGGCCTGGTCTTCTAACATGGCAAAGGCCAATCTTGAGCCCCAAGATGAGGAAAATGAAATAGATCAGGATCAGCCATTATATACAGTTTCAAATTGGCTAGACTACGACATTCAACCAATGCCTTCCTATGACGAGGAGCCTACTATTGAAGAGCTGACCACGATGCAACCAACACCGGGTAAAATTTTCGCTTTTTGTAACATATCTTTGGTAAAAAAAATTATACAAAATTTTTTTTTTAGATTCAACTACTAATTCATCGATTTGGAAGTCTTTCCTTCTTGGTTTTTTGAATTCCGCTAAAAGGTTGCTAAATGATAGGATCAAGGATAGAGCTGCATTGAGATTTGCAAGGTATCTCTACCGCGCCGGCAAGAAGCTGGGTTCTCGTAGCAACGGTAAAAGTGAATGGAGACCAAATCAGCTGCATGAGAAAAAGTACTGAAAGGCTCTCTAAAGTTTTTCTAGACGTTTTTACTAAAAATAACCTTCCAAAACAATGTTCCAATAGTTATTTAATTCCATCAATTTTATTTTTCACTCAATAAACCTGGTCATTTTTCGTGGAAAAGGTTTTGTTTCTTTGATTGATTTCATCATTATTCATTAAAAGGCTACATAAATTTCAACTGTTTATAATACAGAGAATAAACCGAGACATATTAATTTGTATTGAAAATTAATATACTCAATAAAGTATTAAATACTAATTCAGTATTATTCAGTATTTTCCAATTGCTACACCACATTGTTTACCTTAAACTTCTTTTAAAAATGTCACTAAATTTACTGGTTTTGATTATTGCTAGAAACGTTTAGCTGAATATTTTCCATCACATTTTTACAAACTTTATTCAATTCCACCTTGCATTTTTTGGTGTGTGAGCAGACTCACATGCGAAAATAACGCACACGCGAAAATTCAAATGGAAAGTGCGCAGAAATCCTCCATAACTTTGGCAACACGCTAGCGGTTTATACTTTAAAATCAGTTTCTTGCTGCGAATGTGCCATCCATTTTTCAACCCCGCCACTCCCCGCCAGCTCCTCCATCAGTCGCGCTTTTTCGCACGTGCACTCTCACAAAAAAAATTGGGTCTCCTCGAGAATATCATTAATGACGAAAACACATGATAAATAACGCTTTCCGAGACCATGATGGATTTCGATCCACATAATCTGCCACTTTTCTCCCAGCGCAATATCGAATTAAGAATATAAGCGCTTCTCAAAATTTTCAGGAAGTCCCGGCGAAATTCCTGCAACTCGAATCCACTTTCCGTTCCTCCGAGCGGAAAAACGAAATTCAAGCTTCGCAGGTCGCGCACCCCTTAACTCGCAGCGAGAGTGAGGAGGAGCGATGTGTGCTGCTTAAGAGTATTATTCAAATCTTCTTTGTCCAAAATGAAATTATCTGATGAGACGAAGGCGTTGCCGGCGCTGTCTAAAAGTTTTCGCCGTTTGTTTCGGGCGCCGTTTGCTAATCTTATGCTAATTTGTAATGCCATGAAATGTGTCAAAAATGCGCGTCGGCGAAGAAACTTTAAGAACGCTAACGAGATAAGTTAATTTCGCCGCTGCAGAGAGCAGAGTTAGCTGCTCCCGCTCGCGCTCCTTTGCTGCCGAGTATGAGGATGACGATGAGAATTTGGGCAAATAATTTACATCTCAAAGTGTGTTTGTGTATGAAATTTAGAGGGATAAAGTAGTTAAGCAGTTCATCTCTTTAGCCGAGAGCCAATCTGTTGAAATAAAATTACGTCAAAATTCGTCAAAGATTTAATTTTTGATGATTAAGTTTCATGAAAATTTCAACTCCATTTCCAGTTAAAGAGCTGCGGGAGGATGAATTCAAATTGATTGTCCTCCTATTTCAGAGCAAACCTATCACCGGCCTCAATAACATTTAAACTTTGATAGCTTCATCAACGGTTTGTTTATTCCTCCGGGGATAATTTCACTACCGGCTGGTTGCCCTCACTCGCTCTGTTTCATTGTGCAGTCATAGTTTCGACTGCCAAATTCGTTAACTGCACAAATAAACAACATAATACATGGTGAAATATCGTCCGATAGCAAATAAACATCACATTGTTTAACATAATTATAAAACGTAAAATTCCAAAATAGACACAAATAATAATGATGTGAATTGGCATATATTTTGTTCCAAATACTACAGATCTGTTTGTAAAATAAATATTGTTATTTTTTATAATAATAAAAATAATTATAATTAATAATAATGAAAGACTTTAGAAGTGAATAGAAGTGAGACAATAATCAATTTCTAAATCAATAATTCTCACAATACAAGATTATTTATCTTTTTAGGTGGCAATCTTATAAAAATTGTTATTTCAAAATTTCAGCCAAAACGGAACGGAAGGATTGCAATAAAATTGTCTAATTTGATTTACTTAATTAATCATTTGGTACTGTTTCGCTTAACCCTTCCCCATTGAGTTAATCGGAGATCGACTGTTTCAAAAGTTTTCTTAATTGATACAAAACGTCTCCAACTCTGCCCCACTAGCGAAGCAGGTTATAATAATCCAAGCTGCAAGGCTTGCATTTAGTTTTGATTGAAAGTTTGCTCCAAAGCAAATTGTCCGGGCTACGAAGACGCCATAACAGTCCAAGAGTGCAATAATAATGCGAGCTGCGCTGCGGGATAAGGTGGCGGACAAGGCGACTATGGCGCACTTATTCTCAAGTGGTTATTGCAGTGTTACAACTTTGGCCATTTGGAGTCGACGTTAGACCGGGGCCAAGCACACACCCACTTTCAAATTGTAATTCGTGCAGCTCGCAGGGTCAAGTTTGCAATTTGCATAGAGTAATTAACGAAATTACCCGGCGCGCAAACAAGGATCAATGCCGCCTGCGAGTTGGCTGCGGTTAAATTATAATTTAAGAGCAAAGTTGTCTCTTTCTTAAGAAGAGAGCGCACGGGAGGACAAGTTCGGCGAAGGAATCATCAAACGCAAAGTTTACGGCCAAGTCGGTCGCTCCGTGGACACTCTCTTAAGCTGCTGCCTGCTGTGTACCAGCATGGCGCTCTCTCTTATTATGGTACCGAGGCCAGTTTTGCAGAGCACTTGGAGACGCGATTTATGGCGCCAGGCAAACACTTTTCTTATTGGTGCCAATGCTGCACAAACTTTGGCTCCAAGTCTCGATTTTTCGCATTAGACCGTCGCACACGGTGTGTTTCACATTAGAAATTATTACTCCAAATTTGTTCGAGACATTTTAAAACGCTCATGTGGCGTTGCTTCAAATGTTTATGGTATTTAATTGCTAAATTCAGTGAGATTTCATTCAATACCGGCTATTTTTTATCATTATAAACAGGATTCATAACTCAGTGAACTAAAATTTTTTGAATCGAAATGTTTAATTACATTAATAAAATATACCGTATCAACTGATTGTTTAATTTGATACTAAATTTAAATTTATCTAAATTGTGATGAGGTAAAACAAACCGAATGCTATGTAAATAATATTTTCATAGCATTTTATCAAACATATTATTAGTCTATTATTTCAGGTTTGATCCAATAAAAGAAAAATATAGTAACATATTGCACTGTTAAAAAAAATTTGATTAAATAAAATATTAATTTATTGATTTATATAAAAATGATAATTGCTGCAAAAATATTTATAATATTTTACTGTTTAAATTTTAGTTCACATTATTTACGTTTTTTTTATTACAAAAATAAAATTAGCGTACGCTTAATTAATAATAGACTTTGGTCAAATCGGCTTTACAATGACCATAAGAAGACGCTTCTTCCAAAGCAACGCAAACAACATCCGTAGGAAAATTTTGCCTCAATGAAACGCGGATTTAATAACAAAATGAAAAGTCAAAAGTATTTATAACTTTCAAGATTTAATTTCCTAGGTTTTTATGCCTCGTTATGAAAAGAATTCAAACTAAAATTGTGCGTTCCATATTTAATGCATCTCGTTTGATTTTAAAAGTTCGGGGGCAAAAACATGGCATGTGTAAACAAAATTCTCCTTATCTCACGTTTGTTCCACCGAACAACGGGGAATTGGAAAAAAAATCGCCGTCAGCAGGCAACCACCCCGCGGGCTAAAGGGAGAAGCACCCACTTTTGGTGTTCGCATAAACGCGGGTCGAAATTTGTTGCGCCTCTTTTGCGTGAGTGTGTGCGTACAAAATTCCATCATTCCATTTGCAAAAAGAAAAAGCACCCAGGCGTCTCAAGGCACTTGCACCGAGCGAACTGTCGTGAGAACATTACCCGAACAAGCCCCGAGAAATATTTCAACCCTTGCATTCGCACTCATTTCGCAGACGGAAAGAGCACAAATTTTTACACGTCGTGTATTTTCCAACCCACTCCGTCATTTCCATTCTCTTTTTTTATCTTTTCTTCCTTCTCTGCCGAAGGTTGCAGAGGAATTATTTATGATTCGCGAGTTTCACGACGAGACACAATAATAATATGCAGAGCTCTTTCAAAAGTCTGAAACACTCGAGAGGAGGAAACTTTTCCAGCTCTCTCGCCGAAGCCAACCCAATACATTTTGCTGAGCAGAGCTATCATTATTCTCTCCAAGACGACCACTTTCATTCTTTCTTATTTGAAGAAAGTAAATACCGGATTTTGAAGCCTTTTGTCGAGCAACTACGTTTCTCGCCCATCATCACAGGCTTCCCAAAGTGTTGCTTTTTTACTTGAAGAGGCCGTATTTCCTAAGCTGCCTCACCAAAATATCATTAACATGTTCTTCCAGAGCTGATCTCATAGGAGGTCAAACACAGAAGCCACCAAAGTATGGGGCATCAAATTTTACTGCGACCTTTCAGGTGAGCAGAACCAATTTGTAAATTATGTTATGACATTGAGTAGAGTACAAAAGCTGTTGGCAAATGCTATATAATCAAATTAAGAGATTAATTAATTTCTTATAAATATTTTAAATTTTTTATGCACCGATTTTATTAGTTATTAACAGAAGCAGATGTTTGGCGATTCACGTACGTATAAATCTCATTGCTCATATCTAAATTTGTGGAAAAATTATGAAGCCTCTCTGTCAATCAATAACTGTTTTAATTCAAAAACTAGAGGTTTAAAATTTTTAATGTTTATTGAGAAAAAAAATGAGTGAATAGCTTCATTGAATGGGAACAATGAAGAATAAATTAATCTTTTCTAAATCAAAACAGTTTAAAAAAACGGAGAATCAACTTAAATTAAACTTGGAAGTGTGTATGTTGGTATTAGTTTAAATGCTAATCCCGCATATATGACGACGCGAGAGCCGCTAACTCCATAACATCACAAATGCTTTAGTTGAGGCTGTCGTCGGCCGTGCATGTTGATGACGGCGGTTTTTGACTTTGCTGCTCTGCGGTCGCATCACATACACAGGCTAATTGAATGCGTTTGTTGCTTGTGCATTAGTAATTTTATACACCATAGCATCGCACCCATTAAAGCGACGCACTTTGAACACAGAATAATTTTATTTTGTTAATTACGCGTTCGAACTGCAAAATCATTCGATGCTCATTCGAACGTTGAATACACATGATTAATTAGCATGCTGGCGCAGGTCAAAGGCACCGGGAAATATCAAAATGACGAATGATC